TTCTAACAAGTTCAAATTGTGCTTTTTCCTGGGATATGTTCAGTCATTTGAATCTGTATTTTCTTTGGTAATCAGAGACAGAACAGGAGGATTATTAATTTTTAAATCTTCCATAGCCAAGGAAGAACCTGGCTGAAAGGGTAGAGACCCAGGCACTGGGAAATGTTAGATGGAATTATGCATTTCAGAGTAAACACCAGGGATAAGATTTTCCTAAACAAACAGGAAAGTTTGGCTTTTAAATCCTTTTCTAATCCCAGACAAAATTTCAAGATCTGGTAAACTAGATCTATTATTTTGAAGCTGTGTGTTTTATACCAATCACAAATTCAGCACTTTCACACCCAGATCTGAACTCTGATGAAAGACACAGCTTGTAAAGTAGGGAGTGTGTAAAGTAAGCAATTAGCCCAAGAAATACTGAATTGTGGAGGTCAGCTACTGAAAGGTAAAAGATTGTCGGAAAGGAACCATTTTCATGGGAAGGCAGAGCATGGCAGCATTGAGAATGGCATTGCATTGCTCTATAGTGCTCAGCCCATGTGAGCTCTGTGATTTGTTAGCCACTTGAAAATCGTATATTATGTTTTTATTCTGTGCTGATCAATTTTATTTATTGTTGTATTTCATGTTTGATAACTGAAAATAAAAAATGACTGAGAGGATTTTTTATGACCTTAAACAAACCTCTGAAAGAGAGTTATGTATATAAGCCTGAGAGAGATTGATTCTAGTGTGCATAACTCAAAGCTTCAATATTTCTTAAAAGTTCAAGTTCCTTTTAGCATCTGATACAAATGAACAAAAATCTTTATGAAAATGCAAATGGGCATTGTTTTACCATTACTGACTCATAGTGACCAAAACAGACGCTGGAAAGACAAAGACCCTGGAGGTATCACTGACATAGCAAAGCAATTATAGTGTAATGTGAGGAGGTGAAGCCTTGATAATTCCCTTAATGGCTGTGCAATTGCAATGGCCTCCATAGTCTCAAAGATCATAAATAATAATGATGAAAAATATCCCTTTGCAATAATAGACTTTTGTTTCCTAATTTTCATTGTGACACCAAGCAATTGCTCTGTAATTTTTATATATTTCCTGCCAGTTGCTGCAGGTGCATCATGTGCTATTGCAGCAATAACCCAGAAGAACAAGACATGGTATAAAGCATTAGTAGGTCAGCATTTCATTAAGAATAGGAAATAATGGTATGACTTGCAAAGAGCATTCAGTACGTGTACCAATTGCATTTACTGAAGGGAGTTACTATAAGTTAAAAGCATAAGATCTGAAAGATAATATTGTCCCTCAGATGGGTACAGACTTACTGTATTATTTTAAATGCAAGAATAATTTAATCCTATTTTAAGTTGCACTTTTGTTCAGGACTAAAAAAGTCAAATGTTAAATAGTATATGACAACTCAATAGAATTATTTTCCAGAAGAAAATCTCCCACAAAAGTAAAAACACCGCTTTTTAAATTAATTGAAACTCAAAATCTTTCAGTGAGAATGAACAGCGAGAAGATGCCAGTTAAAGACAACATCTCAGGAATATAAGGCTGCACTATAAAACATAAATGAACTATTTTCAGTAGTGTTCACTACAAGGGGACCTAGGGAGGTTCTCCTATCAAGACTGAAGTTCTTATAATTGAAGTTTCAATAGAAGAAATTTTAGAAGAAATATTGACATTACAAATACTAACAAATCACGAAGGCCAGACTTCTGTATGGAAGGAAGCAGGATGTACTGTTTTTCTTCACTGAGTCTCAGGACTAGGAGGAGGGTAAGTAGAAAAGGTACTTTTTTTCAAAAAAGGGACTCCTATGAACATCTGAGGAGCTTACTGAGTCAGACAGTACGTCTGATTTCTGTATCAAGTGTGTTGATAGAAAATACATAGAAAAGTAGAATCAGCAGGATTGTACTTACCACATACAGTAGTCTTACTACACAGTCATATATCAAGGACACAGCTTTTAAACAGGGAAGTCTTGCTTCAGTCTGTATATAACTTTCCTGAAGAGTCTGAGAGAATACGAATAGGAACAGTCAAGGTTCTACTGTGAACTTTCATTTCAAGTAGTTCTTTACAGGTTACTCATCAAAGGCTGTCAAAAAAATTAAATATTCGGAGACACTGAAGGACAGCCCCATTTTTAACTAAAAAATGATTAAAAAATCCACCTGTTATAGGAGTATCTGAACACTTTGGAGAACTGAGAGATTGTCAGTGAAGCCACAGAATACTTTTCTGGGATTTCACCATTCCACATATAAATTATATGGAAACAAAATAAACTGAGAGATAGAGAAGATTGTTGATATAAAATTATTCAGAATAGTTAAAAAAAAACTAGTCCTGGAGAGCTGCAAAACAATATTGTGATAATAGAAACAGAGTGAAGAGGCAATAATGTCACCCACTACAAATTTATATAACACCTTAACCTAAAAATATACCTTTATTAGATATTATCAGTAAAGAGATTAGACTGCCATTGTAGATGAACATCAGTTCAAGTGCAAAGCAGCAAATTGTGAGAAAAGCAACAAGGAACAAACAAGAAAAAAATCCCAAGAAAAAAAAAGTGTGACAAAGATCTACAGCCTCACTATTGTTGTGCAGTTCTCAGTTTCACATCTCTAAATGATAGAATGGAATTTGAAATGGTGCAACATGGGCACTAGAAATGTTTACAAGTTTATCAAAGATTCGTTGTAAGGAAGGATTAACCATCTGGGTTTTCTTGGTTTGTAAAAGACACATCTAGAAGGGGATATGACAGATATAAACCATGTAATTGGTCACAGAATCACAGAATATGTTGAGTTGGAAGGGACCCATAAGGATCGAGTCCAACTCTTAGGCCTGCACAGGATCATCCGCAAGAGTGACACCATGTGCCTGAGAGTATCATCCAAATACCTCTTGAACTCTGGGGGGCTTGGTTCTGTGACCACTTCTCTGGGGAGCCTGTTCCAGTGCCCAACCATCCTTTTCCTGATATCCAAACTAAACCTCCCCTGAGACAACTTCAGGCCATTCCCTTGAGTTAGAAACTAGTATTCATAATCATAAAAGGAATACATGAAACAGTAAAAGAAGTCACATAGAGTGTAACTAAACTATTAAATTTATGGACATAGTACAAACAAGTGGTACAAGCAATCCATAACATTTTTATGACAGATTAGACTAACAATCATTTCAGCCTAGGCCAAGGAAAAATTTAATTGAATACAATTTGGTTGATGCTATGAATTTATTTTAATACCCTGGACACAGATTTTAATTTCCTTTTTTTTTCTACCAGAAATAAAAAAAAAAAAAAAAGGCGCCTTTTTAACTTTAATGACAGAATTGGTTCAAAATTTGCCTTTTCATACAGGGCACAGTATTTTTTCACAAGTTCATAAAGCAATGTCAAAGCATTGATTTAGTCATGTTTTTGAGGAAAATGGGTCACTACTGCTAGCACATGTAATATCGCAGGATTATGTTTTTTAAAAAGAAGTCTGTTGCTACTTATAAACTCACATTATTTATGGAATCACATTATTTGAAATAAAAGCATTTTGTGTTTTCTGCTTCTGTCATTTGATTCACGTATCAGACATGTTTAGATTTTCTTACCAAACTTAAACCCATAATGAAATGTTTAAATGCATATATGTTCAGACTTTCTCTCAGAACCGTGTTGTCGGTGCCTGTGGGACAGGAGGAAAAAGAGAGCACAGCCCCACATGAAAATCCTAAGCCCCATAAGGAATATTTGAAGGGCTAGAAGTATCTGTTTTACCATTTTGGTCTTATATATTATTTTTTCCTTTTATAGGTTGTGGGTTGTTTTCCATCTCTCTCTGTCAACCTGGTCTTCTCTCAACTATAAATTTCATATTCCTCTACTTCCATGCTCCTTCTTATGCTTCTTTCTTTTCTCTTTCTTGCATAAGAAAGATATCTCTTTTCTCTCCTTCCTTTTCATCTCTTTTTCCTATTTACTTACTTTAGGATTCTTTGGAAAATCTTGACTGATTTTTACAGATTCAGATTGGACTTGTCTTGTTGCTACTTTGTCAACAAGTCAGACTTTATTCACTTTTCCTAATCTAAAAATCTGAACAATTCTTTCTTTGTTTAATATAGCTTTTTGTTCCTGAGTATTGCCTGCCCCCTTACCCCAACTTCTGTCTAACCAAACACAGCTGTTAGAGTCATATTCTTCTCCTACCATGTTGATTATGACATTTGGTACAAGTTGCATCAAATACAAATCTCTCACCTTGTCTTATAAAACATACCTCCATTTCCCTACTCATTTCTCATTTCCTAAAATCTTGTCATTCTCCAAGGCTGTCAGTCACCCCACAGCTAATTTCAGATAATTCTATTGATTTCCATGTTTATATTTTGCACATCCCTGAATGTTTTTCAAGTTGTATCTTACAGTACTTAGTGTGTTGTCCTGACAAAAAGAATCATCTCCCAAATTAAAAGGGTTTTTGAAAATGACACAACTGAATTTTGAATATCTGCATATCTGTGTTTGTATCTGTGTACACAAATGCTCTTACATATTTTGAGGGGATTTTTTGCTGAGCTTGGAAAGTCCTCAGTCAAACACAGCATGAGATGTTGATTTAATTTCCATAATTTGTATTGTGTTGGTAATCAAATTTTTGGTCTATGAAAATTCTCACTTTTCTGTTGATTGCCCACCTTAATCTTTCAAAGCTTAAATATTAATTTGTGTTTGAAGAAAAATAAATCTTTTTTCTTAAGCTCACTGTTTTGCTCCTGGTAACCCTGAAGGGTATTTCAGAATATATATACTGTACCTGAGCACAGCATATCAGATCAAACAAGGCTATCTCCATCAATTAGCAGCTTTACTGTTGGGCAGATTCAAAAACAAGCCACAGGGTTTTTCTGTAATAGTGGAAAACTCATGTTATTTCATATTTTAAACATTCCTTATGTTCCAGGTGCCATGGGGGAATATGAACCAAAAATTGAAGTCCATTTTCCTTACACAGTTACAGCTGCAAAGGGATCTACTGTTAAGATGGAGTGTTTTGCACTTGGCAAGTAAGTACAGATTCTTTCATAATTAAACATCACTGTTTATTAAGATGAGACATGCCTAATTTGTGATTTCATTATTGTACTGGATTTCATTTTCACAGACAGTCCTTACTGCACTCTCAAAACAACCAACTGACTAAGTAGCTAATTATGAACTCCCTGCCCAGCCATTTCTGTGGACAGGAATTCATTCAAATTAAAAGTCTCTCTGTCAAAATGAAAAGTAATGTTCTCATAAACAAAAAGAGTAATTTTTTTTGTTGCAAATTTTACCAGACTCACATCCATTTATTCACTGTGATACTACAAATCGGTAAGTTAGAGTTTATTCTTTCAAACTGTTTATTTGGAGAATAAACAAAGATTCACAGAGTTGTCTCCCCTCCCCCCAAATGCATAGCTTACATATGAAGCTAGGAACACAATGTCTTAAATATTTCCTAACACACTTTGGGGTAGTGCTATTCTCTAGCTTCTATCTGAACTAATAACACTACTGGAGAACAGGTGTTTACTATTTACATCAGGGAGATTTCTATAGCTTTATTGATAAATGGGAAAAACAGGTTTGAGCAACTGAAACTACTTCTATATAGTATTCAGATTACAGAATATAGGATGAAATTGATGATATTTCAGTTTTGTGGTGTTAGTTATTATTAGTTACTATTATTTACTTACTATTAGTTACTATTATCATTGTTCCCAAGAATAAGATCAGCAAGGGTAGTATACAGCCAGACAGAACTAAGAGGCAATTCTAGCCATTCAAAGAATTCTTCACATATATATGTTGCTAACAGCAGTTCCATCAATGATGTTTCTCTACAGACATATAAAAAAAATCTAATGTGAAGGGTTTTTTCCAAAACACTCCATCAGATTCTGTGTGGTGTGTTGAAATAAATCTCATTGTATTGAATTCTTTTCAGTTTCTCTTTACAAAGGTGTTGCTTTTGGATATCTTGCCCCATACCCTCTGAAGTTATGCTGATAAATATCATATATCCTGCTTGCTTTTATAGTTCACACCTTATCAAGACACATATAGGTTTCTTACAGCCTGGCCTTGACTAAGAAATAGAGGAATGATTTGTGTTTGCAACTCCTGTAAAGAAACTTCACAAAACAATTAGCCTGAGAAATACTGTATCTTACATACCAATTATTTTTACTTTACCTAAGTAGCAACAAAACAGAAGAAGTTAGGAGTTTTTAGACAATAGTCTGTTTTCCTGAGAATGATGACTCCAGTGTGCTCAGCAGGTTTGGTTTTCCAGAAGAACCTGGCAAATCCTGCCTCTACCACCTCAGAGGACTTTTTAAATGTTTTTATAGTCATTTTGACCTTCATGTGTGACTGGTCACTAGATTTTTCTTTTTAGACTTTTCTCCTAACAGTTCTTATTTACTGAATGGATGATATATGTCTTATTCCCTTCTTGCCAGTTTTTCCTGATTGACCAACATCCAGATGCTCTCACTGAGCAGGTCAACAGAGAGAATACATAAATAATTACAGAGAAATTCTGACAAGGTATTTTATTTGTATCTTTTTGGGTCCAGTGAAGTTGGTGGAGAAACAAGACATAGCCAAAACAGTCCGAAAAAAAGCTGGGAGATCATAGCCTGCATGCAGGGATCCATTAGACAGTGATAGCAGCTTATGCAAATTCATTCCCAACATAAATGTAAGCGGTAGTTTAGAAAGCAAATGCGAAGGAAGAAGTTCTGTACAGTAAAAGTCTTACTATTTACGTAATAAAGATAAGGAAAGAGATACATGAGAGAGAAGAGAAAATGGAGAGATTCCCCAAAATGCTGAAATAAATGAGGAAAAGGGCTCTTCTGTAGAGACAAATGGCTCCAGACTCTCTCCTGTCAAAAACGTTGCCAAGTCAATAGCTGGCAGTGAGGCCTTTTTAGACTCTTGGCTATGGGTGAAGCAATAACCAACATATTACTTCTTATTTTCCTCATTTTGCTGGAATTAAATTGCAGTTGCTGACAGATTACAAGTCAGCTGTCACTTTCCAGTGAAAAGGAGGTATGACACATTGTCCTTTGCAACCATCAGTGACAGGCAAGAAACAGCTCTTGATACCTTCCATCTTCCGCACCCTGAGATTTAGTAAACTCTCTCAAAAAGAATCAGTCACTATTCAAAGAGGAAGGTGAAGGCTGACAGGAAAGGCTTCAATTAGCTTATTTCCTCATTCCAATTTGGTGTTAACCTTTAATAAACAAACAAAAAAACCAACCAACCAACCAAACAAACAAAAAAACCAACCAACCAAACAAAACAACAACAACAAAACCAACCCAACCAACCAACCAAAAACTCCCCCCAAAAAAAACAAAACAAAAAAGCCCAAACATCTGAATGATCAAGGATTTTAAGGTTATCTAATAAGATAGTTGACCCCATTTGTTGCTATTGTAATGGGCACCTACTTTTACCATGCACATTCCTTGTCTTTTTTTCCCAAGCATTAATGCACAATCAAATCAGCTGAATTGAAATTGCTTTCAACCTGATATGGTAATAATTACATGAATGACATTTCAGACACTCTTTGAAACCTGGAGGCTGAGGTGAGAGGTAAAAATGCATCAAATTTCCTATTCTTTTTCAATTTTTGTCCCCATTTCTTATTCCTGATGGCTTGAAGGGATCTTTTCTTGTTACACTGTCATTGGTCCCCATTACTAAACTGAATCAATAACTAATTTTTTCCTTCTTTATTTAGTATTCTGAGACTTAGTGTTTTGAATTCTTATTGTAAATAACACAGAAGTTATTACAGTCTCAAAACTAATGTGCTTCTGGTTTTCTTATGCTTTGCTCTAGCTGTCTGAAACATTCACTCTACTCTCTCTGCTATAATCATGAGATTGACAGACATTCTAGTGAGATTTCCTGAAGTAGGCATTTGGCAAGTATTCCAGAAAAAGCCTAGTCTTTAGTTACAGATTAATGATTTATTAATAGTGTTTATTTAGAACTACCAGTCACTATGGCTGTAAGAATTAAATAAATTGGAGCTCTGCAGCTTTTATCTCCAAACTAAAGTCAAATATCTTAATTACTTGACAGACAGAAACGCTCAGAGAAGAATTTCATTCTGATCCAAGCAATATGTAGCTGATTCAGTTACAAGCGAAAATACTGCTACTAGTGCCACTTGCAAATAGACTTTGTAGTTACTAAAGAATTCAAAATAATACATGAGTGAAATATCTCAAAATTATCTTACCTGTATTAGATAATGCTGCTTATAATGAGCATAAGCCATTGGCTAAGAAATCACTGCATAGATCAATGATTGACTGCTAAGGTATGATTATTTCAAAGTCAAACCTTAGATTTGTTATGCAAATCAGGAAGACAGATCATGACCTTGTTCTTTGGATAAGTTCTGGTGAAAAGACATCATTTTCCTAGTCGACATTCTTGCACAAATCACAGCATTCCTGGCTTTTCCTGCGCCAGAAATATGATTTCTCAGACACAGTCTTCTGTGACAACAGGTTGCCATTTTAATTTTCCCCCAAATGTTACTGACTTTGCTTCCAAGAACATCTGGAGGCAACTAGTCCACTCTTTAGTTTCTTTTTTAATGTACTTTATTCAAGGAAATGATTCTCATGTCTTCATTTAGCTCCACATTATAAAGAGATTAAATTAATGGTGCTGATGGGCAAAAGGACTCTAAATTCTGTCCCCATTATATGATGTATTCATTAATGAAGCACTTTAGAGACAGCCATGCAAGCATTCTTTAGCACTTCCTGTCTTTGGAGCATACTTCTGTCATAAATAATTCTAACACTATTTTTTTAACATGAGACTTAAAGGTAGGCATAGATGGAAATATACAGGGTTTTTAAAGGCTCAAAATGAACAAGTTTTCATTGTTTAAATAAGGATATAGGACTGGTTTGTCCAAACTGGCATGAAAAGCTGTATGATACAACCCTCTTCAATGAGCCCAGACACGTGGCCTCAGAAGAAAATAAGTAAAAAGTATCAGAAATATATCTTTCATTTTTCCCTTTATTTTTCTTTCTAGTACATAACTCTAATTTGTCTGCTTGTTTCCATTTGAAATAATTTTATTCTCACTATTTCACACAGACTTTTAAATTTTAAATTGTGTATAATGCACACACCTTATCTGACCCTCACACTTCAGCCTCAATGCATTTTTGTTGTGCATCATCACAACAAGCTTCTATTTTATTTTCCACATAAAACTCATACATTATTGCTTTTCTAGCTGTAGCCAGAAAAAAAAAATAGAGTTTGTATTATGACAGTGCCAACAGACAATTTTGAGTGAGTAATCATATTTTATTTCTCATTAAAACAAACTACAGGGCTATTGCTGTACTTGTACATTACCAAAGTTTTCAATTTTAGCTTTTAAAATAGGGTCTGTGTAGACCGCCAAAAGGATTGCTTTGCTCAAAGAAAATAAGCTTTATGCATCCTTTTTTTTTTTTTACTGTGGTTATATTTTAACCATATAGATCAACACATAGATACTTGAATAAAAAGAATCGATAGAGAACAGTGTTGACAATTTTTCTCATGACCCATAGGCTTGTTTTTCTGCGTATTTGAGAGGGTGTTTTATGCTTGTGCTATTTCTGTATTGTTACCGTGGGATTTATGGTGCTGAAAAAATCTCCCGAAGCAGTTAATTAGGGGTGAGATAAAAAAGGGTTTATTTTGCCAAGGCTAAGATGTTACAAGACGCGTGTCCCTGTGCCTGAGAGGTTACATTTTATAATACCATCCATCCAATCCCAGATGTGTCCACCCTGTGGCCTTTACTCTGGACCGCCCCAGGTCCACCCCCTGAAAATGGGTCTGGGGTGCATTTCGGGACCCCCTGTTCATCCCATCTTCATTATCATCAGAGCACAAAGGGTACATAGTTACGCAGTTTTTGACTGTGTTCTGTGGTTTAGGCCCTGATATACTGTTCTGCCAACAA